TCTCTATGGAAAACTGGTTGATGGGTGGGAGGCGCTCATATCTCCGATAGGGGAAATTGGGACTGTCCGGGAGAACTGTATGGAAGAATGCAAATAGTTAGTCATAAGAGCTTCTGATATCCTCAACAATATATTGCAAAAGGTTCACAGGAAATCCCATGATAGTATATCATTGGAAAAACAGGTTTTGATTAGATGACAAACTCACTATGTTTTACTGTAAAGGTACTTTGCATTCATTTGCCTTTTTGTATTGCCTCGAGAGGTGGGTAGAACAATGTTGCCCAGCACAAAGAAAGGAAAACCCCTACCGATGGTTGCCATGTTCTAACAACACCCAAATAATGAATAATGAGCCTGCTGTGCAATACACAAAACACAGCAGTGGCCAGTTCTAGTTTGTTTGCATGAATTTCAGCATCACCTACAATTTGGAGTTGCGTTGGCTGATGACAACACCTCCTACTCACCATTGCGGAAAAAAGATCGACGTGACTGCCCACCATTGAGAGGCGGTAACGACTTCTTCTCCTGTCCAACGAATGTGTCCCACCGAACTTTGTCAGTCCCGCCGAGCTCCCTCACCTTCTTAAGGCAGGTCTCTAGGTAGTCTATGGGGTCATCCGGTCGGTAGTACATCAGACCAGTCAGCAGACTCTGAGAAACCAGTGACAAATCAGAGAGGTGTACTGTGTTTATCTGTTCACTGTAAGAATAGGGTAACATGCATTGTAAGTAGGCCTGTCGCAATAATTAATATATCGACTTATCGCGCAAAATATGTCCATGACCTCAATAATTTTTGGTGACGCAATATATCGCACATTAATGTCACCATGTTTTGTACATTCCACTTGCGCCTGTGTCTTTTGCAACTTCTCGTACATAACGTGATGTAGTCACGAGGTGCTAGTTCAAATTTAAAAAATGCTTCTACAAACAAAGTTTCATCTGCAGATATGGTCTTGTTTAGGGATCTGTGCCTTTGTGCATACGGACATCTGACTGCTAAGTAGTGATTGTGTTTTTCAGCAATAGTGTGCACCCTTAATTTACAGAGAAAAGAAGGTCAGGAAAAAATCTGTAGATGGAAAAATCTCCATACAAGTTACTTGTGCATTTTTCTTTTTTTCTGCTTGCTACTTTGCACTTTTTGTTAAAAAATGTTTATTTAGTATTTATTCAGGTTTTTTAAGGTATCTAGTATTTTGATACCTGGGTTTTTGATCTGTGCCTGTTTTTCCTGGATTTATCCCTTTAGTCTCGCCCTTGTGATCCTGTTCGCCAATCGTTGACCTATGCTAGCCCTAGGACTATTCTTGTGTCTTGCCCGCCATATACCTGTTTGCCACCGTTCGACCCTGCCTGTGTTTCTGACCTCCTCTCATGTTAATAAAGCTTGCATATGGATCCGCACGTCTCACGTCTTGTCAGCCCCGTTACATTATCGTGACAGGCCTAATTGTAAGGAATGTTTATTTTTTGTAAATGTTATTATTTATACAATTTTATACACATAAAGATACAAAATATATCTTATAAACGAAACTAATATTAAAAATGATAGCCTATTATTTTATATTGAAATTATTCTAAAAATTTAGCTTCCTAGCCTAGCCTAGCCCAGCCCAGCCCAGCCCAGCCCAGCCCAGCCCAGCCTAGTCTGTTTTCTCGGTTTTTGATCTGTGCTTGTTTTTCTGGATTTATC